GCTTTGATAAAGCGGTTGAAACGCAGGCTAGTAAGAAATACTGATAATCGAGCATCACAAAGAAGTGTGACATAATTTTGAACAAAAAAACTCGTATTAAAAATCACGCGTTTGCTTGTGTTTGTTATTTGTTTCGTTCAACTTGTTGACAGAAAAAAAATCTCGTACCAGATATGATAACACTAGCAAATGTAATTTCACCTCAAAATTTACAATTAGGTTTAAAACACAAGTCAACCGGAATTGAACCTTCTTATTCAAACGCTTGTTATAATCTGCCAAAAAAGATATTCTGGCAGATTATAATAAAATAAAATTGGTTGCTTTGGTGAACACGATCAAACTCTTGAAACTCAATCCAAGGAAAAAGATCCCGTTATACCCTGCAGCGTCTTCAAACTTGACGTTTTGAAAACAAATAACCTCTCCTCAAATTACCATTAAGTCATACAAATCAATGCTTTGGAACAAAAAAATAACAAATCCAACTCAACTTATAATCGCAATGGTTGAAAAATGTTATTGATTTGTCGTTTGAAACGAGTATAATTCCCATTTTCCATCAACTAATTTTCACTTGAAACGACTCAAAAACAGGTCACAAAGCCGAAATCATTTGGACAGAAAAAAAATTAAGAAAAAAAGAAGAAAATACAAGATTTACAAACAGCAGAAGTAAAGCAAAACACTAAAAGCAACTACAATGTGAATTGCACATAGCAAGAAAAACAATACTAAGACGTGGCAAGTAGGCAGACAAAACATAAGCCGGCAATTCTTTTTGAAACGGAATATTTCCCGTGTAAAAAAACAGGTCCCTGCCAGATTCGAAACCGGGACCTTTGCGGTACCAAGCAAATTTGTTACCTCCAGGCTAAGTGGGCCGGAAACGCAAAGAATTTGAAGAGGGCCGGGAACGCTCGGAAGATATCTCTAAGGACGAATCTAGAAGTACTCAAGAGGGTAATCAATAACTTTTAGATGGTAAAAACGAAATTCCGTCGAAAATGCTTAGGTAAAAAGTTGGCGAAAATTGAAGATTCCCTCACAGAGAGTCGAGTATCTTCGCGCTCAAAAACCAACAACAGCAAAAAAAAACATAGCCAATTGAAGATTGGAAAAGAGTAGTGAACGCAAGTAAACATAAAAAACATACTTTAAACTCTTTAAGATTCTAGAACAATTTATGATTGGCGCCTTTTTGATAATATGAACCCAACTAGAGAAAACTGTATCAAAAGGTAATGTTTTTATTCCGCTGAAAATCTAAAAAATTAATTCCACTTTCGAAACTAGAAATCGTTCACGTTTTTTCGCGCCTTTCCACATTCGTATTTGGAGAATGCTATTTACGTCACTTTCAGCAGTTGAATTTCAATTGAACTCAAAAAGAGCATACATACCTTAGTCCATTCATAAATGCATCAATATGCATGAATGCGCATCTGTAATTATTAGAGACTTTTAAGTCTTTTCCAGAAAAAAAAAACAAAAAAATCAGCAAGAACTACATAAGAGTCTTCACTACGTTCTTTACTCTTAATAACAAACTTCAGACGTTTCAAAATCAAAAAAATATATAGTCAGCGCACAATTTGAAATTCGAAAATATCTCTGGTAAAAACGCCTCTACCACCGAGAACTGACCAGACTGTTTCTTTTTCCATTAGAACTTTTATATTCGACAGATCCATCCATTATGCTGTTTTACGTAAATGCCACATCCCCTAGTATATATACCAAGCATCACAAAATGCGCTTTGATAAAGCGGTTGAAACGCAGGCTAGTAAGAAATACTGATAATCGAGCATCACAAAGAAGTGTGACATAATTTTGAACAAAAAAACTCGTATTAAAAATCACGCGTTTGCTTGTGTTTGTTATTTGTTTCGTTCAACTTGTTGACAGAAAAAAAATCTCGTACCAGATATGATAACACTAGCAAATGTAATTTCACCTCAAAATTTACAATTAGGTTTAAAACACAAGTCAACCGGAATTGAACCTTCTTATTCAAACGCTTGTTATAATCTGCCAAAAAAGATATTCTGGCAGATTATAATAAAATAAAATTGGTTGCTTTGGTGAACACGATCAAACTCTTGAAACTCAATCCAAGGAAAAAGATCCCGTTATACCCTGCAGCGTCTTCAAACTTGACGTTTTGAAAACAAATAACCTCTCCTCAAATTACCATTAAGTCATACAAATCAATGCTTTGGAACAAAAAAATAACAAATCCAACTCAACTTATAATCGCAATGGTTGAAAAATGTTATTGATTTGTCGTTTGAAACGAGTATAATTCCCATTTCTTTGTCCACAAAGAAAGGCGTATCAAATTTCAATCAAACTAATTCTCATCCAATATCCTTTCTCATGGTAGTTAAATCTTTGAGCGTGTTAAGTACAAAAGGGTATAAGAGTGCCTGGAATTTTATTCCCTAATTTATGCACACTATTCTGATTCGACAAAAAACATAGTGCTGCTGATGCAATTGCTTATGTAACCAAAAAAAACGTCTGTATCACAACAAGTTAAAACAAGAAACATTTATCTTTATTTCAAGAAGAGATTGGACACTTGATCATCATATTTTGTTCCATATTGCAGAAATCTATGGAATACAAGGCTAAACATTACAAAGAGGCGAAGCTGAACGTCGCATCACTAGCAATGCAAAAAATTGGGAAAAATTTTTTCCAAAAAAATGTCGAAAAAATATATTTATCAAAATGAATAAGACTAACTTTGAAACAAAAAACATATCAATACATGAGAAATAAGCATCGGGAGATAATGTACCCAGCGTGAACAAAGCCGAAAAGTTCTTGTCAGAAACCTTTAAGCCGATAAAAAAATCAACAAAAAACTTCAAACTTCTGAAAAGTTAATAAGTCAACCTCACCCTCAAAACATACAAACACTCAAAAAACTTCATTTGCTCGTCGTATAAAATATGCCGAAACCACTTAAGCCCAAGAAAGGAAAATCAAGAAAGAACTAAAACAAATTCAAAAAATTAAGACTAATAAGAAGTCCCCCTCAACATCAAAAAACAGACACGCACACAGAACTTTTTTCGCTCGTCAAAACAAGCAAAAAGAGGCCAATGAGCTGATATACTCTAGGCCCAAAGCTATAATTCTATCAAGATGTGAAGCATTTTGAGCAATCCAGAGAGGAGCATTAAAAAATCAATATATAAAAAATAGGCCGAAATCATTTGATCAGATTAAAATTTTTTAGCGAAAAAAAAACAAATGAAAAAAAATATACGAAGTCAAGCTTAGTAAAATTACAAAGAGCAGAGGTAAATCAGAGCACTAACAGCAATTATGAATTTTTAAAAAATAAAAAAAAAGATTACAATATGACAACTTAGCCGACAAAACATAAACAGAGTTGTTAACCCGAAAAAAGTCTAACTTCCGATTTGATAATGCTTGCTAATCGCAAGCGTTATTATGATTCAAGCGAGAAATTAGTTGAAATAGGTAATTCTTGATCATCGAGTTTTGATTTGAAGTGTGATTTTCCGCGAGCTTCATTCAGTGACTTTTATATCGAATATGTACCAATAACTTACCGATATCTTTACATAACAGGATTATACTCCTCTTTTGAAAGCTCCAAAAACGATCTGAAAGCTGTAAATGAAGGTCTCAATGCTAACAAATTGTCACCAACGCTTGAGATAGTTTATTTGAACTTACCTTGACAAACTGCTTTCATTTTTACTTAAAAATGAAAAATTTAACTGGAAAAGAAGCTTCTTCAAGCAAACATCGTAGTATTTACATTGATTATTTACATTGAGCTATCTTTGAAAATTCATGTTAATTTTCCGCATAGCAAAGTCAGAATACAATGCGGGATAATTTCAAAAAAGGGGAAATATTTTCCGAAACTGGTACAATACATATAGAGCAGTATTGATGGTCTCAGTATAATAGCCAAATACTGAGTCCATTTTGCAACACCGTGTTACGCGCATGAAGGCACCATTAATACGAAAATGATGCTTCTTCTAATGAAACAAAAAAAAATACTTCAAACGAAAGTACAATAGCATTCATTCATAATTTATACTGAGAATTTAACATGTTCATAAGCTTCATGCTCATGAACTATTGAAGTTTGTTATAAGATCACTTGCGCGACTACATTGCAAACTTTTTAAAATAATTATTTTATGATAATTCCATTAACATGTCACCCAGAAGAAAATTACAGCATTAAACACAGAGGCGAAGTTGCACGTCGCATAAGCAAGCAAAAAGATGACGCAACTGGGAAAAACAGAATGAGTAAAACTTCGAGTCTACAAAACTTCTGAAGTGACGCACGCCATTTATGAGTCTACATAGTTGCTAAGTGACGCAAGCCAATTATGACGCATTAGCGGTGCCAGTCAATTTGAAGAAAAAAAAGAAATCTACCAACTAACATGCCTCAATTGATAGAGCGGACGCAGTTTAACTACTATATGAAAACTTTCATTAAAAACATTCGACCCTGCCCAGGTTCGAACCTTCTTGATCTGTTCCGAGTCTCCTTGCCTACCTCTCCACTACTGATCCATGATACCTTGAAGCTAAAGGGCTTTTTGTAATATAATAGTCTGTGTTAATATCCTTAGCATTGGCTGTACTTAATAGCTGGTTATTGATCAAATTGAACACATTTTGTCGCAACAATATTTGCGACTTAGGTTGGAGAAAAGAGAGTTCATACTATAACACAGGTTTTGCTTGTTTAAAAACCAAATTAAACATAGAGGCGCAGCTGCGCTTCGCAAACACTAGCGAGAACACAAAAAGCAGCTCTATAGTGAGAAATAAGAAAAGAAAAATAAACCCCGAATTAGTAAAAACTTGGGTACGTGTCGGATTCCATCGATTTCGTAAATACTTGTCGGATTAAATTTCGCGTTAAAGCTTATTCTCAAATTTTAAAAAAGCGCCTCACACTATCTCCGTTGTGACAAAAACATTAGAAAAATAGTGTAGCCTATGAATGTCGGAGGGAACAATCTACGTTCCAGAAACCAATTGAAGAGTTTATTTGGCAAGGGAAAGGAGCATGCAAGAATCACAATATCTAACTACAATACATGTTTGTTTCTTTGCGCAACTTACCAATTCTCTGTTAATGTTAATCTTCGACCTCTTTTCACCCGCCCGTTTATCTTCACTTTCAATTCACTTTTCACAATCCATTTTTTTCAACCATCCGTCTTTCGAGTTATCAATCGCTCTGCAATAATTTTCCAAAAACCATCTCCAACCCAACTCTTCAAACATTTTCATTTCAATTGATCATCTTCAGTTAATCTTCTATTTCATTTCATCATCTTCAATTTCACTTTTTCAAATCTTCACACATTTCTCCGTGTCTTCTCTCTTAAAATAAAAAAGAAAATTAGGCAAATTTTTCAGTTCGAAATTACTGCAAGTAAACGTGTTTTAAAAACTCAATTATAATAATTCAAGCAGAACAGTTAACCCTACAACAGCAACTCAAAAAGAAATCAATATCAAAAATACTTACACGCAACGTGTAATTCGGGCAGATTAACGAAATATGTATACAAAGCAGAAATTAATTCAAATATAACAGACCAGTTTTTGAAACTAACATGTTCTGTTTGCATTTTATCATCAATCTATCAATCTTCAAATTGTGCAGCTCTCAAAATGTAAGAGCAGCCCAGCCTTCTATTGCAGTTTTTTCTCACTTCATCATCATGATCAGCATCATCGTTTAATAGTATCGCCCTGAAAAATTAATTCGATTTATAGCATTTCAATTAAATGTGATTTATGCTCAAGGTTTTAAAAATTGATTCAATTGATAAGTAGTTAATATTGATTAATGGATTAGTTATTAATGATTCAACTCTGCTCACTTGGGGGTGATCTGGAGTAAGACCTTCGAGGGGAGCGTGACCTGGATCGCCTTCTGCTCTCGTACCGGGGTTGGGGAGCATATCTGTCTCTGTCTCCGTAGCGTCCACCGCCTCCTCCTCCGCCTCGTCCTTCGTACTCATAGTATCCTCCGCCACGACCACCGCCTTCATATCTAGTCAAATTGTTCTTTTTTACACTGTTTTTAGATACACTGATTTCGGATTAGAAATTATCCAAAGTGCATTGTCTAAGGAAGAAATAAAAAGTAAGAGAAAAGAAAAAATCGCGCCACTAGTAGAATGCTTAGCAATTAACCATTCAGACAAAATTGCATTTCAAGCTTATAACTTGAATTGTAAATGTGGGGATGGGGTAGGATCCTATAACAAGGGATACTAAGACATCGATATGACTTACCTTGGTGGCGGGGGTCCTCTCCTCTGCGATTGGTAGTAGGAAGGGTTCGGTCTTCCCATGTACTTCCCTGGTGTGGGTGTGTGAGGCCGTGACGTCGTCGAGAAGTCAATGCGGATGTTTCTCCCGTCAATGTCCATGCCAATACATTTGTCCTTCACCTGAAATTTGAAATTCCGAACTCAATATTCATTTTTGTTCAAAGGTTTCAAACAAACAAGCTCCGAAAAGTTACAAAAATAAACTGCCTAAAAAGGTGAGCACTTGTTCAAACTGCCATGCTCAAATGAAGTTACATTAACTGGCCTTTAGGAAATCCGATTTCATTGAAGTAAGTGCGGTGATGGTATGAACTCAAAGATCCAATGAAAATTGAGAGCCAACTTTCAAAAAAAAAGAATAATAGCAGCACCACTTAACCGTTTCTGAATCCATACTTTTATACATTATCTTTTTGCACCATACTAACGTATCTTGCATCATCAGAAGTCTCAAAATTGATGAATCCGAAGCCTCTGGATACGTGCGTGTAGTGGTCAGTAATCAACTTGACTCCGGAGAAGCCGTGGTATCTGTCAAATACATCTCTCAAGTCGGCCTCCGAAGTGCGAGTACTGAGACCGAAGATTCCCAGACACTTTGAGGGTTCGGGGTCATCCTGAGACACAATACAAGCAATGTATTCTGGTTTATCACGCTAATGCAATAGCCCAACAGTTAACCATATCACAAAATGCAAGCTAATCAAAAAAGCACTGTTGATTTAGATTTCACCGATTTCAATTTTTGAATTACTGGAATCAGCGGCCAGCTTAGTTTTTATCAACCATTCAATTAGTTCGAGGCCATTATCATAACTGTCTCTAGGTTTCAATTTGTTATATTATCAAGTTAATACATTAATTAAACGTCTTCATTAATAAAATTCAGTTATAATACAGAATCGGTCAACAAACTTCTACCCTGGTGCCAACATGTCTCTTCCTATCTGACATCAGCGACGTCGACCTGGACCTCCGACTATACCGCTCCCCACCTCCCCCTCCACTTCTACCCCCTCCGCCTCTGCTTCTGGGGGGAGGAGACCTGGGTGGCGGGGATCTCGGGGACACACTCCTGGAACCAGATCTGTGAGGACTTCTTCTTCTGTCCACATCACGTGATCTCTCCCTGCGGGGACTCGGCGACCTGCAAATTCACAACTAATCAGTTTTTTATTAGCTTGATTATAAGTCAATTCAGCATGACAGACAGCTAAATGCTTCTTAATCAGAATCGTTTAATAGTGCAGCGACAACCAAAACTAACTGGGAAAGATTCAAAAAGTTAGTTGAATGAAAGGAAATAACTTTGGTAGAAGCATGCATTTTTTATCTAATAATTGGGCATAAACGACAATTCCATGAAACAATTCAGATCAAATCTCACTGCCGCAAAGACAAGGCCGAATAACTCAATTTTCTTTAAAGCCATTTTTGTTTAGCCCTAAAAGGTCAAATTTACCAGCAATTATGCATGATTAAAGATCGTCCACTTTGAAAGAAAGTTTAATCTCGAAATTAGAAACACTTAATTTTATAGCTGATAAATTTGGAGCACATTAGAGGTTTACCATCATTCAGGTAGTCATCATTGTATTTATTACTTGTCTAGACGACCAAACTTACCTCGATACACTGCGACTTGATCCGGGCATGTCACGATAACGGTAGGAATCTTCACAAGATATAATCTGAAAAGCATCATCTTACAACAAGATAAACCTTCAAGATGTTACATTTGATGTTCTTTGAACTACCTAGATAAGTATTAAATTTGAAGACAGACACTTAACAATTGAAGAAACTTTTGTTAAACTAAGAGGCGTTTCCAATTATTTCACGAAGCAACATAAATAAGGAGTCACAGCTTCCTTTTATTCATGTTTTGTTACCCCAGTCAAACACTTGACAGTTAAATGGAAAGAAGCGTTATATAAATTCCATTCGTTCATTATGCAGATTTTAAAATCACCGACAAAAACTGTTTGAGATCAAAAACTTCGTGCACAGAGGCGAAGTGGAGCTTCGCATCACTTCCAATTTAACAAAATCAAAAAGAGCAAAAAAGTTGAGAAAAACATGGTCTAACAACTTGCCCAGCAAAACATTTGAATGTTAAAATATAAGGACAAAAAGAGTAGCCATCCATGTTCAAGTAGCACAGAACTTTCGGATCAGTTATCATTGCAAAAAAAAGCAAAAAAAACGATAAGCCCGCATAATATATTTTAAATTATCAAATATTTGCAATAAAACTTCGTTTCGTTAAAACGACCAGAGTTCATCACTGCAAGGAATATTTTTATTATTAAGAACTCTCGGTCTGTTTTGTGCTCAAGCAAAGAATAACAGTGCAGTTTTTATTTCATTCCACTGAAACTTATATGATACATTATGCTAATTTAACACCACTATTCTCCAGGGAAACTTTGAAATCAACGTTCACTTTTGATGAAATGCGCAAATTTTTGCTGAATTAGTTCAATTAGCTGGAGAGCGTTAAGCCCCCTGTAGAACCCATCTCCTCCTCATCGTGGTGCAGGGGTGTACCTGCACTGCTGCCAGCAGTGTGGGGCTAACGGAGCTCTGGCATCCCAGGGAGTGGCGAACCCTCGGATGTATTCAGCCACGTACCCATATGAAAACTCGATCAAACAATTCACTGTCAGCTACGGTTCCCGCGGTACCTGGGGCCCCCAACTCAGCCGCATTGGGGAGCAAAGCCAAGTCGGTCAATCATTCCAAATCTCAAATCAATCTAGCTACTTGGAACACACGCACACTCCTTCCACCGGAAAGCCTCGCACTAATGGCTTCAACGCTAAAATCACTGAATATTCAAGTGGCCTGCATCCAAGAAACCCGATTGCAAGGATCCCCCTCCATCAACATCAACGATGTTGCAGACACTCCCTCCTATAAATTTTATTGCTCCGGATACGATGACAAGCAGGGGCTCCATGGTGTTGGTATAGCCGTTGAAACAAAACTAGCCAACCACATTATGGAGTGGAGACCAATGGGACCACGCCTATGCTACATCCGCATCCATGCCAAACCAGCCCCCCTCTCAATTATCTGTAGTTATGCCCCAACTGAAGACAAAGCAAACGAAATCAAAGATGAGTTCTATGATGACCTCTCCAAGCTGACGGGCTTGGTCCCAAAAAAGGATCTGATGATCGTTGCAGGCGACTTCAACGCAAAAATTGGAAGTAGATGCAACTCCGAAGCAGCCAACATTGGAAAATTCACCATTGACGATCGCAACAGCAATGGTGATCGACTCATCAGCTACGCAATGAACAACAACCTCGTCTTATCGAACACCACGTTTCAAAAATCGGTGCACAAACTCCCAACATGGATATCCAACGATGGAAGAACGCAAAACCAGATTGACTTCATCCTGATATCCAGACGATGGAGATCTGGCATAGATGATGTCCGCACGGTGGGCCAAAAAAACTGCCTAATTCAGTCTGACCACAAGATGCTCAAAGCCAAGCTGAAGGTCAAATTGAAGGTATACACAAAAGCCCCCAAATCTTTCCGACATGATGTCAACACACTTAGAAACCCAAAAGTCTCCGACGCCTTTCGCAAGGATCTAAACCGCACATTGGGTAGCCTGCAAAACGAAAGCGACGTCAATGGCTACTGGACGGGCATCAAAGACGCGCTGACAAAATCAACGGAAAAGAACATTCCCAAAAAGAAGTCAATCCGGAACCCTTGGATCTCGCCAACGACCCTACAACTGGTGGAAAAACGAACCAGGGCCAGGACAGCAAAATCCAAAAAAAAACATTTCCAGGGACATCAAACGGTCGGTCAGGGTAGATAAAAAGAACTTCTACGAGACCATCGCTGATGATCTCATTGCGGCAGATGCAAACGGAAACTCGAGAAGAGTACACAATGCTGTAAGGAAACTAACCGGAACAAAAGCCCCAAACATCGATACAGTGAAAGACAAGAATGGAAAACTTATCACTGATACAAATGACAAAATTAAACAATGGGCCAACCATTTCGAACAACTACTAAACCGGCCAACAAAAAATCTAGCGACCCCTCAAATTCGCAGCCAAGCCCTCTCACAAATCAACACTGATACACCCAGTTTGGACGAAATCTCGCTCGCAATAAGAAAATTGAAGACAAACAAAGCAGCAGGAAATGATAATATCCCCCCGGAACTTTTTATTCATGGCCAACATGAACTTCTTCCCCACTTGCAACGCCTTCTCTCACTTATTTGGAAAGAGGAGAAGATTCCAAATGACTGGAAGACAGCAGTCATAGTCCCCATCCACAAAAAAGACGACAAAGCCAAATGCTCAAACTATCGTGGCATCTCACTCTTGAATATCGCTTTCAAGATCTTAGAGGCGATCCTTAAAAACAGGCTCGAACCAGCCTATGATACAGTTGCTAGAGACAACCAGGCTGGCTTCAAAAAGAAGCGCGGATGTCGCGATCAAATATTTGCAATCAGACAAATAGTAGAACAAAGACACGAATACAATAGACAGACTGTTCTCGTATTTATTGACTTTAAAGCTGCGTTTGACAGCGTCAACCGCGAGACAATCTGGTGCATCCTCGAGAGTCACGGCCTCCCATCCAAAATCCTCCAAATCCTAAGAGCCATGTACACAGAAACGTTTAGTACAGTCAGGGTTTACAACTCACTATCTAACCCATTTGCCATTGTCTCAGGGGTCAGACAAGGTTCGATACTTGCACCATTCTTGTTCAACCTTGTAATCGACTGGGCATTGCTCGAAGCAACGGAAAACCAACCCCTTGGCATCGCCCTTGGCGATATGGTAATTACAGATCTAGACTTCGCTGATGATATCTGCTTACTTGAAGACAATATCAAAGACGCACAGACACTTCTTGATCTAGTCACTCGCGCCGCTGCAAAAGGCGGTCTTGAAATAAACACATCTAAAACGAAATTCTGCTCTGCTCATCCTGGAGACCAAATGACCTGCAATGACGCCCCCATCGATAGGGTGAATACTTTCACCTACCTAGGCAGTAACCTGCAACTCGATGGTGACGTGTTGCACGAAATCCAGATCCGCCTCGGAAAAGCAACAGGACGCTTCAAACAATTAGACAAGCTCTGGAAACAAAGATCAGTCCCGACCAGAATCAAATCGAAAGTATACAAAGCATGTGTCGAAAGCGTGCTCCTGTATGGATGTGAATCCTGGCCAGTCAAGGCATCCGATACTCAACGCCTCGACTCCTTCAACTGCAGATGCCTGAGAAACCTTGGTGCTCCGACAGACACCATGAGTTCCACCGTACAACAAAGACGCCTCAAATGGCTAGGGCACACCCTACGCATGGAACCCAACATGATACCCAACGCATGCCTGGAATTTGAGAAAGCCGACAACTGGAAGAGACCCCCCGGTGGAGTAAAGAACTCGTGGAGACGGTTAGTGAAGAAGGAACTCCGCCCATTCTTGAAACCCCAAAAAATGACCCACAAGAACTGGGAGGCAAGCTGGTTCGATTTGGCCAAAGATACTGCACTGAACAGGCCGCAGTGGAAAGCAATTGTGAGAGATATACATATGGCGGGCAATGGGCAGTAATGCTCGAAAACGCCCTACGAAGACGAAACGAAGGAGAGCGTTAAGCGTCCAATAGAAAATAAAACTTGAAGCCAGCTTCAAACGAAAATTAGAGGTCTGACCGGCCTCAACAGAAAAATGAGCATGAACGAAAGTCGATTCTGAAAAAAAACTATAAAAACCAAAAGACAGTTGAAAAGTATAAATGAACTCAAGGCGACCAAAACGGTTTTTTCTTTTTGAGAAAAACTTCTCAACTTTCAAAGATAGAAGGAATAATACATCACCATGAAGCTCTTTTATTTTTTTCTGATTGATACATGTTTGATAAAATAAACCCATTTTGAGTGGAGGCACTTAGCACAGTGGTAAGGCGTTCACTTTGAAATCGTCAGATCGTGTATTCGATCCCATGCCATGGCAATGATAGTGTGTGCGGACAAGCTCTCACTTGACCTCCAGCTTCAGGTCTACCACAACCTGACCAAATTTGGCTGCAATAGTGGTCCCACGTAAAAAGTTCTAGACGCAAAAAAACGGCCTTGAGTCCCAAAAAAACAGCTTCGCTCAGCATCAATAACACTGTCTGGAATGTGCGGAGATAATACAAATGGACTATCCTCGACAGGACTGTTAAGGCCTACTGATAGCTCCTCTGCGATTCGCAAGAACTACAATTATTATTAGAAAACCGAATCAATAGGTATTTTTTATTCAGTTAGAAAATCCCAGCATATGAACTTTTGCAGTTCGGGAGCGCAATTTTCATAACTTTTGAAAAATGAATTGGAATTGAACTCGAAAAGAAGTCAAACAGCGAAAAATAAAAATGAACAGTTTATCAAGAATTTAAAACACGACATAGCCACAGTTAGTTGGAAAAAAGTCAATGAACACAAAAAAACTCACTTGCTTTTGAACTATCTTCAGCTTTGGATCTTCAAAGAAACAAAAACAGACTTTTTTGCGTCTCAGGAAAACATTTATAATTGAATTTCCTGATAAAAATAACCCAATTTGTGAAAACTGGATTAATAGGTAAGTTTTTTTTCCGCCGGGAAAAGTAACATCCAATGTCGAAACTAGA